AGTCTCAGGGAGTTTTCACTCAGTGCAGTGCAAAGAAGGGGCAGGCACTTTACATGTCAAAAGCAGGAGCAAGCAAGAGAGCATTGGGGAGGGTGCTACATACTTTGAAGCCACCAGATCTTGTGTGAACTGAGAGTGAGAACTCATGCATCAGCAAGAGGATGGCCCAAACCTTTCATGAGGGATTCAACCCCATGAACCTAGTACCTTCCCATTAAGCCTCACTTCCAACATTAGAGATTATATTTCAACATGAGAAGTGGTCAGCGACAAATATTTGAACTATATTGGAGGAGATACCTTGTTACAGTTTTGATTTGCATTTTCCTAATAATTAGTGATTTTGAGTACTTTTTCATGTATTTGTTGGCTATTGGCTATTTGTATGCCTTTGAAGAAATGCCCATTTAGTCCCTTTGCCTTTTTTTTTTTTTTTTTTTTTTTTTTTTTTTTTGAGACAGAGTCTCACTCCATCATCCAGGCTGGAGTGCAGTGGCATTATCTCAGCTGACTGCAACCTCTGCCTCCTGGGTACAAGGAGTTCTCCTGCCTCAGCCTCCCAAGTAGCTGGGACAACAGGTATGTGCAACCACACAGAGATAATTTTGTATTTTTAGTAGAGACGGGGTTTCACCATGTTGGCTAGGTTGGTCTCAAACTTCTGAACTCATGAACCTCCTGCTTTGGCCTTCCAAAGTACTGGGATTTTAAGCGTGAGCCACTGTACCCAGCTTAGGCCCTTTGTGCTATTCGATTATATTTGCTGTTGAGTTGTGGGAGTTTCTTATATACTTAGGATATTAGCTCTTTATCAGCTAATGGCATACAAATATTTTCTCCCATTCCGTAACTTTCTTTTTTGTTCTGTTAATTAGTTCTTTCATTGCATAGAAGATTTTTAGTTTGATATAATTGCTCTTGTCTATTTTTGTTTTTGTTGTCCATGCTTTTGGTGTCATGTCCAAGAATTTATTACAAAACCTAATATTTTGAAGCTTTTTAATGTTTTGTCCTATGGTTTCAGGTCTTATATTTAAGTCTTTAATCTATTTTGAGTTGATTTTTGTGTATGGTGTAAATTAAGAATGCAATTACATTATTTTTTGCTTGTAGATATCTAGTTTTCCAAATACCATTTATTGAAGAGACTCTCTTCTCTCCATTTTTTATTTTTGTCACCCTTGTTGAACATCATTTAACTGTGTATATGTGAGTTTATTTCTAGACTCTATATTATGTTCCATTTCTCTATATATCTGTTTTTATGCCAGTACCATACTGTTTTAATTGCAGTAGCTTTGTAATGTATTTTGAAATCAGGTACAATGTTGATTCCAGCTTTGTTCTCACTTGAGATCACTTTGGCTATTTGGCATCTCTTATGGTTCCATATATATTTTAGAATTTTTGTCTATTTATGTTAAATGTGCCATTGGGATTTTGAAAGGGATTCCATTAAATGCATCAATTGCTTTGGGTGGTATGTACATATTAACAATACTAATTATTCCAATGCATGAACATGAAAGATAATTTTTATTAATTGTATTGCTTTAATTTCTTTCATCAGTATTGTATAGTCTTCAGTGTACAAGTCTTTCAGCTCCTTTGTTAAATTTATGCTTAAGTATTTTATTTTCAGTGCTAATCTAAATGGGATTTCCTTAACTTTTTTCTTTGGACAATTCATTGTTAATGTATAGAAACACTACTGATTTTTGTATGTCGATTTTGTGGGAGTACTGGCCTTATTTCTAATCTTAGAGGGAAAATGTCTGGTTTTTCATGGTTTAATATGCTATAGTCATGGGATTTTCATACAGGGCTTTTATTCTATTGAAGTAAATTTCTTCTATACTTAATTTATTGAGAATTCAAAACATAAAATGGTGTTGATTTTTGTAAAATATTTTTTTCTGCATCTGTGGAGATGATCATGTGGTTTTATAATTCTTTTTTATGTTAATGTGGAATACAACATTGATTAATTTGTGTATATTAAACATTCTTGCAGCCCAAGAAGAAATCCAACTTGCTTATGGTGTATGACTCCTTTAAAGTGCCTTTAAATTTGGTTTGCTATTTTTTTTTCTTGTGGTGTCTTTGGCTTTGGTATCAGGGTGATGATGACCTCATAAAATGAGTTTGAAAGTATTCTTTTAATCTCAATTTTTGGAACAATTCGAGAATTGGTATCGGTTTTTCTTTAAATATTTGTCAGAAGTCACCAGTGAAGCCATGAGGTTTTCTTTTTGAAAGGTTTATATTACTGATTCAATTTTCTTATTTGTTTTTGGTCTTAGGAGCTTTTCATTTCTTTTTGCTCCTGTATTGGAAAGTTGTATGTTTCTAGGAGTTTATCCATCTCTTCTAGGTTACCCAGTTTGTTAACTTAATAGTCCTTTGTGATTAATAATTGTTCATAATATTCTCTTATGATTTAAAAAATTTCTGTTGTTTCAGTTATAATACCTCCTCTTTGATTTCTGATTTGAGTCTTCTTTCCTTTTTTCTTAGCCTAAGGATTTTGCATTTAAAAAATCTTTTCAAAGGACTGATTCAATTTCTTTTTTTTTTTTTTTTTTTTTTTCTTTTTTTTTTTTTTTTTTTTTTTTTTTCTGTTTTCTTTCTATTCTCTATTTCATTGATTTCTGGTCTAATCTTTATTAATTTCTTTCTTCTGCTAACTTTGGGCATAGCTTGTTTTGCTTTTCTTAGTGTCTTGAGGTGTAATATTAGATTGTTGGAGATTTTTATTTTACAATAGCTATAAACTTTCTCACTACAAACTTCTCTTTTAGTACTGCTTTTTTTGAATCCTGTCTAAGTTCTGGTATGTTGTACTTTTGTTTTTAAATATATCAGATATTTTATTTGTTTGTTTGCTTTTTAAACTCATTGATTGTTCAAGAATGTTTAATTTCCAAGTATTTGTGAATTTGTCTATTCTTTTTGTTACTGATTTTTAGCTTCATTCCCTTATAGTCAGAAAAGATACTTTCTTCTTAAATTTGATAATTTTTTTAAACTAACATGTGATTTATTCAGGAGAATATTTGTGTGTGCTTGGGAAAAATGTGTATTCTGCTGCACTTGGGTGGAATATTCTGTACATGTCTGTTTGATTTTAACTACAATATTTTAAAGTCTGCTGTTTCTTGTTAATTTTGTGTTTGAGTTTTATATCTATTATTGCAAATGTGGTATTGAGGTCTATGATTACTTTATTGCTGTCTTTTTCTCTCTTTAAATCTGTCAGTGTTTATTTTATTTAGATGCTTCAATGTTGGATTCATACATATTTATACTTGCTATATCTTCCTATGGAATTTACCTTTTTTAAAAAAAATTAGGTAATGACATTATTTGTCTCTTGTGACAGTTTTTAACTTAAAGTTTATTTTTTTCTAATAGAAGTATCACCATCTCTGATCTCTATTGATAACGATTTGCAAGAAGTATCTTTTTTTGTTCCTTCACTTTCAGCTAATTGTGTGTCCCTAAATCTAAAGTGGGTCTCTTGTAGATGGCATAGATTTTGATCCTGTTTTAAAAACTTATGTATCCTGTTTTTGATTGGTGAGTTCAATTCATTTACATTTAAAATATTTATTAACAGGTAAGGACTTACTACTGCCATTTTGTTAATTTCTTTCTGTCTGACTTGTAGTTCTTCAGTTTGTCTCTTTCTTTATTGCTAGCTTCTTTGTAATTTAATTTTTTGTAGTGATGCATTTTGATTTTTTAAAATGTTTTTTGAATTGGCTATAGTTTCTTTCTTTGTGGTCACCATGAAGCTTGCATACAACTTTTTATTCTTGTAATAGTCTGTTTTGAATTGATAGCAACTTCAATTGTTAAGAAAAACTCTACACTTTATTTCCCTCTCAAGACTTTATGCTATTGATAATTTTATTCTTTTATATTGTGTATCAATTAAACAATTTTGTAGTTATAGTTATAATACCATTGTCTTTTTTATTTTTATTTTTTTAGTAGGGTCTTGTTCTGTCACCCAGGCTGGAATGCAGTGGCATGATCTCAGCTCACTGCATCCTCCACCTCCCAGATTTGAACAATTCTCCTGTTTCAGCCTCCCAAGTACTTGGGACTACAGGTGTTTGCCACCACACCTGACTAATATTTTTATTTTTAGGGTTTCGCCATATTGATTAGGCTGGTCTTGAATTCCCGACCTCAGTGATCCACCTGCCTTGGCCTCCCAAAGTGCTAGGATTGCGAGTGTCAGCCACTGCATTGAGCCACCATTGTCTTTCAACTTTTATATTGTGGTAAAAGTGACTTATGCACCATTGTTACAGTGTTATATTATTTAGTATTTATTTATATGTTTGCCTTTATCAGTGAGATTTATACTGTTATATTGGGTCATGTTACATTTTAGCATTCTTTTGTTTTTGAACTCTGTTTGCTCCCTTTGGAAATTCTTGTCATGATGGTCTAGTGGTGACAAACTATCAGTTTTTGTTTATCTAAGAAACACTTTATCTTTCCTTCATTTTAAAAGAACTGTTTTGTCAGATATTCTTGGTTAGCAGATTTTTTGTTTTTTCTCTTTCCTTTCTGCACTTTGAGTCTTGCAGGCCTACAAGATTTCTGCTAAGAAATCTGATAGTTTTATGGAGATTTTCTTGTATGTGATCAGCTTTTCTCTTGCTGCTTTCATAATCATCTCTTTGTGTTTGCATTTTGACAATTTAATTTTAACATTTCTCAGTATAGACCTCTTTAGGTGCCACCTATTTGGATCTATTGGGTTCCGTGAATTTAGATATCCAGTTCCCTCTTGAGATTTCAGAAGTTTTAGCCATTACTTCTTCTTTCTTTCTTCCTTCTCTTTATCTTCTTTCTCCTTCTCCTCCTCCTCTACTTCCCCTCTTCCTCTACTTCCCCTCTTCCTCTTCCTTCTCCTGCTGCTCTTCTTAATCCTTCTCCTCTTCTTCCTCTTTCTTTTCTTTTTCTTATTCACATGCTTTTATCTCACACTCAGATCTCCAAGGTTGGCTGACTTCCCCAAGTCTGCAGCATTACCATTGAATCATCATACATACATTATTTCTTTAAATGAGCTTTCTATCCCTTTCTTTTTCCTTCTCCTCCTAGAACTTCCATTAATGCATATATTATTTTGCTAAGTGGTGGCTCATAAATACTATAAGATTTTCTTCATTCTTAAAAACATTTTCTTTAGTTCCTTGGAATGGGTAATTACTTGTCTTTGAGCTAGCTGATTCTTTCTTCTGCTGATTATGTCTGATGTAGAAGCTCTCTATTAAGTTTCTCAGCTGAGCCATTGTGTTATTCAGCTCTAGGATTTCTCTTTGGTTCTTTTTTATGGTTTGTATATCTGTTGAGCATCTCTTTTCCCCGCCATGTATTGTCACCTGCTTTTGTTTAGTTGTTTATAATTGTTCTCTTTTAGCTCATGGAGTGTTCTTGAGATAATTTGAATAATTTGTCAGGCAATTCATGGTTCTCTATTTGTTTAAAGTTGGTAACTGGAACTTCATTTTGATCCTTTGGGTAGTATCTTATTTCCCTGATTCTTTGTACATTTTGTAGCCTTGCTTTAGTATCTGTGCATTTGAAGAAGTAATCACCTCTTTTAGTTTTACACACTGGCTTCAAGAAAAGCACTTTGTCAGTGAGCCCAACCAGCATTTTTGAGTGGGCTGGCTAGAATGGTCTGAGTAGGCTTTCTGCTGGAGTCTGTAGGTGGGTGGACCATTGTCAAGGTACATAGGTGAACTGACTTGGTGTCAGGGTCTATAGAAGTGGGCCTGGTACTTGAGTTGGCAGATGCAGGCCTGATGCCAGAGGTCTGTGGGTTAGGCTTGCTGCCAAGGTCTGTGACAAAAGGCCTCATGCCAGGTTCCATGGAAGTATCAGAAACTCACTTATTTGTTTGTTTTCCCCATGAGAGCACTCACAAGCCAAGAGGATTACTATCAGCACTGCACTGTACAGTATAATAACCTCTTTATTAGATTATGGAGCTTGCATAAAGGTGTTTTTGTCAGTGGATGGTTGTTAAATTGGTGTTTCTGTGCGGAGATGAGAACTTGAGACTCCTAATACACTATCTAGCAGATGCCACCAATTCAACACTTTTAATTTTATATATATATATATACACATATAAAATTAAAAATGTTATGTAATATATATAAAATATACATATACACACACATTGTGTTCATTAGAAGCATTAATACACATAACCTGATATTACTAGAACAAAATACATTTAAAATGTTCTTTTAATGTTTTAACTGATTTTCTTGTTTTGTAGTCGGAAGTTCTTTTTTTTTAAACTTTCTTCTGTATTGCCTAAAGAGAAAGTATCCACTTTTTAAAAACTCTTTTACTGAATAGAGAGCTTTACAAACACTTTCTACAAATACGATTGTTTAAAAGCACAAGTGACCACCTTGTGACAATGTGAAGAGCTGTATCTGATTGTCCATTCTTTAGTGTTTTTTTAGCAAAATATATGGGGACCTTAAAATTTCCTTTTATGTTCTTTACCCTTATGCCACACTGGGTTACATACCTCTGGGTAATATAATTGAGGTCACATTTGTACTACATAAAACATATTTCCCAAATGTAACTCATGAAAGGATTTAGAATGAAAATGAGTCCAGTTAGACATGGTTACAAGTGAATATTGACAGGAAGGCAGCCAAGGGACTTTCTCAGTCATAGGCTGAACCTGTCTTTTCATGGCCTTGGACCTGTGCTTTGCTGTGCTCAGCCATGGGGCTATGGGTAGTCTGTTCTTGACGGTTGTCTCTGTCACTAGGAATACAGTGATTCTGGCTTATTTTGGGATTTTAAATCTGCTTTCTGCCCAGTATTCACTATCTTGCCATTTTTACATGTACACATTCATATGTCTAATAAGTAATAGTAAATATTTGCTTTATTTTGAAGGATAATGCTCTTTGAAGTGAAGTTGACCTATGGATACCATTTTTAATGAAGAAATAAATGTATACCCATTAGTATTCCAGTATTATACATCCAAAGAGACTTCTTAGGCTGGTTCCTGAAGCCCCTCCTGATAGAACCTCTTATTTTGATTCTGTCTCTTGACAAAAAGTACTAACAAATTTTTCAATTACTTGAGCCTAAATTTTATTTTTGTTTCTATCCACTTACTATCCAGGGACAAAATAATGTTTCTGTGAGTACATACACTTAAATTTGGAACTACTTTCAAATCAGACAATATTGTACAGACAATTAGTTTCTGAAAGCTCCGTTGGTTTATACCTTTGGATCTTTAGCCATCCTTCTCTACTTTTTCTGTCTGGCCAATTTTTTTCTTATCCTTCACAACCTCTCTAGGAAGGCTTGCTTGACTTTCTAATCTGAAGAAGCTTGTGCAACTCTGTTTCTCTTTTTCAGCTGTCACATGTTCTACCATGATGTAGCTAACTGTTATGAAACTCAGGGCTGTATTACTTGGGCTCAAATTTAGGATCCACTAGTGGCAAGCTGTGTGACTACAAAAAAATTCTTTCATGTCTTCATGTCTCAGTATCCTTTTCGATAAGACAGGCTAGTAACTTCCTCCAAAGATTGGGTGAAGATTCTATTAGATGATAATTGTATACATAGAAAACAATACAGTTTGGACATAATAGGAGCTGAGTAGATGCATGCTGTGATTTTTTTGAAGCTGTTAGAACATTGCGTTAGGCCATTGGCTACCTTTTTTTTAATCTCCTGCTTTTTTTTTTTTAATTGTACTTTAAGATATAGGGTACATGTGCAGAACACGCAGGTTTGTTGCATAGGTATGCACTTGCCATGGTGGTTGGCCGCATCTATCACCCCGTCATCTACATTAATTATTTCTCCTAATGCTATCCCTTCCCTAGTCCCTGATCCACAACAGGCTCCAGTGTGTAATGTTCCCCTCCCTGTGTTCATGTGTTCTCATTGATCGGCTCCCACTTATGAGTGAGAACAGGTGGTGTTTGGTTTTCTGTTCTTGTGTTAGTTTGCTGACAGTGATGGTTTCCAGATTGATCCATGTCCCTGCAATGGACATAAACTCATTGTTTTATGGCTGTATAGTATTCCATGGTGTATATGTACCACATTTTCTTTATCCAGTCTTTATCCATTGATGGGCATTTGGGTTGGTTTGAAGTTATTCCTGTGCATGTATCTTGATAATAGAACAATTTATAATTCTTTGGGTATATATCCAGTGATGGGATTGCTGAGTCAAATGTTATTTCTAGTTTTAGATTCTTGAGGAATTGACACACTGTCTTCTGCAGTGGTTGAACTAATTTACACTCCCACCAACAGTGTAAAAGCATTCATATTTCTCCAGCATCTGTTGTCTCCTGACTTTTTAATGATCGCCATTCTAAGTGGTGTGAGATGGTATCTCAGTGTGGTTTTTATTTGTATTTCTCCACTGACCACTGATGATGAGCTTTTTTTCATATGTTAGTTGGCTGCATAAATGTCTCCTTTGAAGAAGTGTCTGTTCATATCCTTTGCCCACTTTGTGATGGAGTTGTTTTATTTTCTGTAAATTTGTTTAACTTCTTTGTAGATTCCTTGTCAGATGAGTAGACTGCAAAATTTTTCTCCCATTGTGTAGGTTGCCTATTCACTCTGATGATAGTTTCTTTTGCTCTGCAGAAGCCATTTAGTTTAATTAGGTCCCATTTGTCTGTTTTGGCTTTTGTTGCCATTGGGTTTAATGTTTGAGTCATGAAGTCTTTGCCCATGCCTATGTCCTGAATAGTACTGCCTAGGCTTTCTTCTAGGATTTTTATGGTTTTATGTCTTCAGTTTAAATCTTTAAGCCACCTTGAGTTAATTTTTGTATAAGATGTAAGGAAGGGATCCAGTTTAACTTTTTGCATATGGCTAGCCAGTTTTCCAAACACCATTTATTAAATAAGGACTCCTTTCCCTATTGCTTGTTTTTGTCAAAGATCAGATAGTTGTAGGTGTGCGGCATTATTTCTGAGGCCTCTCTTCTGTTCTATTGGTCTATATATCTGTTTTGGAACCAGTACCCTGCTGTTTTGGTTACGGTAGCCTTGTAGTATAGTTTGAAGTCAGGTAGCGTGATGCCTCCAGCTTTGTGTTTTTTGTTGTTGCTGTTTTTTTTTTTTTTTTTTTTTTTTTTTTTTTTTGCTTAGAATTGTCTTGGCTATTGGTGCTCTCCTTTGGTTCCATATGAAATTTAAGATGTTTTTTTCCAATTCTATGAAGAAAGTCAGTGGTAACTTGATGGGGATAGCATTGATTCTAAAAATTACTTTGGGCAGTATGGCCATTTTCACAATATTGATTATTCCTAATCATGAGCCTGGAATGTTTTTTCTATCTGTTTGTGTCTTCTCTTATTTCCTTGAGCAGTGGTTTGTAGTTCTCCTTGAAGACGTCCTTCATATCCCTTATAAGTTGCATTCCTAGGTATTCAACTCTCTTTGTAGCAATTGTGAGTGGGATTTCATTCATGATTTGGCTCTCTGTGTGTCTGCTATTGGTGTATAGAAATGCTTGTGATTTTATACATTGATTTTGTATCCTGAGACTTGGCTGAAGTTGCTTATCAGCTTAAGGAGATTTTGGGTTGAGACAATGGGGTCTTCTAAATAAACAGTTATGTCATCTGCAAATTGAGACAGTTTGACTTCCTCCTTATCTGTTTGAATAAACTTTATTTCTTTGTCTTGCCTGATTGCCCTGGCAGATCATTGGCTAACTTTTATGAGAGCCTCATATCTCCTACTCCCAGATAGAGATCTCATTGAAATCAGAGATTGTCCTTCATCTCTCTCTGCTCAGCACCTGTCATGGTACCTGACAGTTGACAGGTTTTCAGGAAGAATGATGCTGAAGAGTGAATGAATCTATGGATTCCAGAGCTTTCGTTAGCGTTGCTAGATGATTATGAGCTGAAATTTCAGTATAATATTTATGTGACCTTAAATTTCTCACACAGTGTCTGCTCCAGAGAGTTCTGCCAGAGTGGACTGTTGTACAGACCTTTATCATTATCTGTTG